AGAGCATTAATTGAATGAGTGCACAGCTTTTCAAAGCAATATAACATAATGCCGATGAGTGTAAAAAATATGTCACTTAATGCCAGAAGTTTAGGATCACCAGTTAAGAGAGCAAGAATTGAAGCTTTACTGAAAAGGGAACATTTCAATATTGCCTTGATTCAGAAGGGCAAAACTATTCAAAGGGTAGGCAATCAAATATCACTGGCATTTGAGACATGAGTCCTTTGACTTTTTGCATACTTCATTGCTGAATCTGGGGAGATGCATTACATTATACTGCTTTGAAGAGGACACTACAAAAGTAAAAGAGTATAACAACTTTAACAAAACAAAAAGTCTGAAGTGCATAGCCCCACGACACCTCAGAGCTGGGAGGGCTGTGAAAACCTTCTCCCCTGGTGCACCAGAAACAAAATTGGGAGTGAAGGTGGGGGTTTGTTCACATACTCCACCCCCTCCCTACCGCCAGGGGTGCATTAAGGTAGCCTAATGTCTTGTTTAAAAATTATAATGACTACTGATGTATTTTATTTATTTATTTGCTTGGTCTTGCCAGGTTTTATTACAGGCCTGAAGTGTGGAAGCTTTTATCTTGCCTTTGCCTCTTTGGGTTTGCCAAACAACAGGAAGTGGGGACATCACCATCTTTGAGTGTTGCTTCTGGAATCGGGATATTCAGATCTCTGAATATGCTCTCCACTTGTTGCTCATCAAAACTGCCTGGTATTTGCCATTTATTAGGACCAGCAACTTAAAAGGAAACCCTGCTGTCTTAGAGCAGCAATATATAAGGAACGATTTCCATTGAGAGAGGGTCTCTGGATCTTGAAACAATTCTAGGGTAACCAAGCCATATTTCAGAATCCTGAAATTGTGCATGGCTTTAAAGATTGCATCTTTCATTTGATATTTCTCAAAGTGGATTACTGTGTTTCTAGGTAATGCTGATGGAGAGCATAGCCCACCTGTTCTGTATGCTCTTTCTGTATCAGTCAGAGAAATAGATACATTTATATTTAAACTTTTTATCCATTCCACTATAAAAGAAATCATGTCTGCTCCCTCCTCCTGTTCCGGAACTGCGCAAAGAGGAAAAAATTCTCTTCCGTCCCAGTTTGAATGTTCCTCCCACTTTAGTTCAAGATCTTCATTTGCCTTTTGCAATAGTTGCAATTCTGATTGAGTAGATAAAGTCATGTTAAGGGCTTCATTTGCTTCTAAGAGCTCCAATGCTGCAGCCCAGTCTGTTGCTGAAACCTTCCTTAATTTGTTTATAAAATCCTCCATTTTTCCTTACTCCTTTCTGATGCTGAAGGCCAGACATCATGTCATCTTTCCTAATCTCTTCAAACAGCCCCAGGCCATCAGCTTCCAATGCTTCTTGTAAATCTTCCTTAACCAGCTTACTTTTATGACCCAACATCTCCCGTGACATTACCTTTCTGAAGACAAATTTGAGGAGGAGAATGCTTTTATTTAGCAGTCATTCAATTATAAATTAGCCCCATGTGTATTGGAGATGCTGGGTCAGGCTGCCATTACCCAGAAGATCTTCACTAGAAGATGCTCAACCCAGTCTATGGGTTTGAACCTCTGGTGCCCAAGGGTTCTCAGAAGGGGCAGTTTGTGCTCTGTTTCTAGATTTGCAATTTTTTCCCCTTCAAAAACCTTCAACTAGCATGGGAGGCTGATCGAGTCTTGGGGATCGATCCTTCAGTGGTCTAGAATCTAATCCTCTAAACCGTTTATTTCTGTTTCAGCCCTGCTTAGGGAAAATTCATTAAAACAATACATAAATGGTTTTTAACCCCGCATGCCAAAAGGATGCCCCCCCCTTTTGTTGGTGGGATTGCAACATGTAAGGCTCTTACTACCTGTGGTGGAATTGTGTGTATGTAAACAAACTTTGGGATTCAGTGGTTTTTCAACTCAGCACCATTACCAGACAAAAAATCTACAGTATATGGGCCCCAGACTGTGTTTACTTTCCATGCTATCTGGAGATAAGTTGGATCCTCCTAACAGAGTTGTGCTCAGCCCCTGAAACTCTTCCCCAATTGGCTTGTGGGTGGGCCTTGCCCCGCTCCAAGCTGGTGGTGCCACAGTTATGCCACTGGCCTTTAGCCAATCGGCATTGTGGCAAAGGTTGGGGGTTGGGGGTATCTATTTGGCAGCTCTCTCTCTCTCTCTCTCTCTCTCTCTCTCTCACACACACACACACACACACACACACACTTATCCTCACCGTCTTAGTTTCAACCACATTCTCCCAGCAAGATCTAACTAGTCACATTGCTCTAGGGATTGCTCCTAGGCCACAGTGCTGCAAAAACCTCCCCGACTCCATCAACTAAAAATGTGAAGCTGGATAACCTTAGCCCTCTCAGGATTTGGTGAATGCACTCCATGCTACAAGCAACTGAAAAGCAAATCACAATAGTGGCTTATGAGAGAGCCACTTACGCGCTAAGAAGGAGGTGGGGTTGTGGGCTTCGCGGCCCCTCCATGTATGCGGCAGCCCCACGCGATGGCGGGGATTCCCAGCCGTGTCACTCCCTAGCTGACCAATCGGCTGGCTCAGGGGCGGAGCCTGCCCTATAAAGGCAGGACAAGGCCCGGGATCTCCCTCTTTGCCGCCCGCCAGCTGTTCCTGCTTTTTTCCACCCTCCTGCCCTATAAGGTTTTCTTTTTGACCTTGCTATGGACCTTGGTTGGTCACCGTTGAGGGGCCTGGTAGGAATTTTTCCACTTGGCAAACTGGCACCAGCCACTTGGTTTTCGCCTACCTCGTAGCAATTTGTCACAACTTCCTGGGTTTTGGCGGTTAGGCATTGGTTTAGTTCTGAAGATGGAAGAGGGGAAGTAGCGCCATCACCTGCCCCACATATTGAAGGGTAGTCTGCTAAAGGATAAATGGTTAAAGCTATGGAACATAGGATTAAAACTTACCACTTGTCTGACCTTGAAGGAAACTATATTAAAAATGACGCATAGGTGGTATATTTTGCCAGCCAGGCTAGCAAAGATGTATAGAATGAAAAATAAGAACTGTTGGAAATGTGAATCGAAGGAAAGAAACTTTTTCCACATGTGGTGGTTATGTGAAAAAGTTAAAACTTTCTGGGAAAATATATATAATGAGTTTAAAAAGATTTTTAGATACACTTTCCAAAAAAACAAAACCAACAGAGGCATTCTTGCTAGGTATGGTTGGAGATGATACAGTGGTGCCCTGCAAGACAAATGCCTCGCAAGACGAAAAACTCGCTAGACGAAAGGGTTTTCCGTTTTTTGAGTCGTTCCGCAAGACGAATTTCCCTATGGGCTTGCTTCGCAAGACGAAACGTCTTGCAAGTTCTTGCGAGTTTGTTTCCTTTTTCTTAAAGCCGCTAAGCCGTTAATAGCCGCTAAGCCGCTAAGCCGCTAATAGCCGCTAAGCTGCTAAGCCGCTAATAGCCATGCTTCGCAAGATGAAAAAACCGCAAGACGAAGAGACTCGCGGAACGGATTAATTTCGTCTTGCGAGGCACCACTGTATAAAAAAGAGTGACCAGAAACTGTTCCTTTATGCTACTACCACGGCGAGAATATTACTTGCACAGAAATGGAAGAAACATGAAATACCCACAGTTGAAGAATGGCAGTGGAAACTCATGGAGTACGAAGAAATAGCAAAATTGACTGGAAAAATCAGAGAACAGGGCGACGAAGCATTCCAAAGAGACTGGATGAAATTTACAACATACATAGTAAAGAACTATACACAAATAAAGAAATCATTCGTTTTGAATTTAAGAATATTGAACAAACATATTACAACAATTGAAGGATGTACATTAATGAAATTTTGTTTTGTTTTTTATAAATTTTTATTAAGCATTTCAGCACAACAATTTGTCAAAAACATATCAACCTTATTTCCCCCCATAAATTTCCCTCCCCCCTCCCTAAAAAGAACCCACCCTCCCTGACTTCCCTCAGTTCCTCTCTCTGGTTTTTGAGCACATGTTATTTTCTGCATATTCTAAAATTGTAATGATCCTTAATTTATCTATCTATATGTTACCAATAGTAAATTTGGATTTGTTTATTCAAAACCTGCCAATGAGTTCAGTTCATTTTGTTGTTTCTTTAAGTACCGGTACTTTGTAAAAGGTTCCCATTCTTCTTTAAAATCACAGTTGTCCTTGTCGTGTAATTTATGCATCAGTTTCACCAGTTCCACATAGTCCATCAGTTTTTCTTGCCACAGTTCTTTTGTCGTGATTTCTTCGTTCTTCCAGCCTTGTGCAATTAAGACTCTTGCCACCATTGTCACATACATAAATATGTTCTTCAGTTTCCTTGGCAGGTCTTTTCCTACAATCCCTAACAAAAATGCTTCAGGCTTTTTTACAAATGTTAATTGGAACATTTTCTTCAATTCATTATATATTATTTCCCCAAAAAAATTAATTTCACTACAATCCCACCGCATATGATAAAAAGTTCCTTCTTTTTCCTTACATTTCCAACATACATTTGAGCCAGTTTTGTACATTCTTGCTATCTGAACTGGTGTTATATACCATCTATACATTATTTTCATATAATTTTATTTCAATAAAGAACAATCTGTAAATTTTAAGTCAGTTTTCCACAGTCTTTCCCAATCTTCAAACATTATGTTATGGCCTATATCTTGTGCCCATTTAGTCATAACTGATTTCACCTCCTCGTCTTTTGTTTCATTAATGAAATTTTGAATAGTATTATTCCATAGTATTAAGTATACATAGAATGTAAACATGACAAATGTGTAAATATAAAGAAAATATAGAGGAACTAGAAGAAGGAGGGAGGGAAGTACAATTTTGTTTAGAGTTAAAGTATTAAGGTTAAAAGAAATAAGGTATGTATTATGTATTATGATGGCCAAATTTGGAAAATCTCTAAAACCAATAAAGATCATTTTTAAGGGGGGGGGGAAGCACCTCCTGATAGAATTTTCTGATATATCAGTCAAGTTTCTTCAAGAAGAGGTGTATCCCATTCTCAGACTTCAGGACCATCTGAGGGATAGGAATGGGCAGCTTTGATGGGTCTGGCAGGATTTCAAAGCGAAGCAGCGTTAGAGCAAGAGCTACTTTCATCTCATTCATAGCAAATTGTTGCCCGATACAGTTCCTAATCAGAGTAGAAAAGGGCTATGAATATCATCAAGTGATCAAATTCAAATGCATCTCTGTCTATACTAAATGAGGTCAAAGTAGTAGTCCGTGATTTTTGCACACTGAGTATGGGTGACACCTACTTTCTGCCTAACTTGCGAATCCCACACTTAACCTGAGAAAAGAGCTGTATGAATTGTAAAGCTTTCTGAAAGACAAAACGTTCTCTATATTTGTTGCACACATGTTCTTCCTATAATTCTTAAAGTCATGCTTGGTAGACCTTGCCCAGGGACAAAACACAAACTTTTCTTCTCCTTTTTTAAAAAGTCAATGCTATTAAAAAGGGTGTGTTTCAGACTCACCTTGATCCAGCTGCAAAAGGGATGAATGAATGAGGATGTCTTTGAGATGGGTTGTCCGCAGAGAATCTTGTAGGATCAAATACCTAAAGTATACAAGGTTTTGGGTACCTTATTAATGGTTGTTGCTTGCTAAATTGCAGCATTACTTTTGACACGAGAGGAGATGGATTTATAGGAGAGCTAAACAACGCATATTGTTCAGGGAAGAATAAAAAAGAAACACCATTGTTCCAAGTGCGATGGGGAAGTGTATATATTTGCATCCTCTAGGTCAGTGTTTCCCAACCGGTGTTCCGCGGCACACTAGTGTGCCGCGAGATGTTGCCTGGTGTGCCGCGAGCGAGTCCAAAAAAGGTTGGGAAACACTGGTTTCTCTTTCAAAAAGGAAACGTGGGTTAAAGCGGCGCCGCCGCCTCCCACTCACTTTCCTGCTCTGGCTTCCCTAACAGTTTTCCGAGTTGCGTCACTGGATCCAGCCCCCTTTTCCACATGTGACACGGGGCTGGAGGGAGGGAAAGAGGGCTTTACGTCGCGCACAAAGGCAGCCTCCTAGAAGCGCTCTGGGCCGGTGCCGTTTCGCCGAAGGCGCCGGAGGACCCCCACCCTCAGCTCCTTCAGAAAGGAAGCCCCGCCCCTCGGCTCCCTACGCCGCCAGGCAGCTCAGCTGACTGACGAGGATGTTCTGCGGCGGCGGCCGCCGCACAACCACCGCAGTTGCTGGCAGCGTCCGCAGCGCAATAAGTAACAGCGCCTGGTGCTGCCAACTCTTTCTCTCTCTCTCCCGCCCCGCCCCCAAGCTCTCGCGCGCCCCACGTCAACATCGCCGCGCGCAGCTTCCCGAGCTCGAGGCCAGCCGCTGCACGCACGCGCCGGCTCGTCATCGGCTCCGGTTGTTGCCTTTCTCCGCCGAGGTCGGTGGACCCCGAGCCTAGGCTTCCTTCCCGCACCCTGCTTTCCGAAGACCGCACACCAGTTGGGCCAGTACATATTCCCCTCCCGTGACTGGAGCGGAATAGCCCTTTCTCTTCTTCCCCAACCCTTGTCGTTGGAGGAGTCCCTCAGTCCCTCACTTTGCTGCCTCCTCCCCCCCCCACCCCCAAAGCTTGGAGGTTCCCCGGCAAGGGGGAGGGGAAAAAATTGAAAGTTACACTTTCGTGCGTCCCTCCCGGCGTGACGCTGCGCGCTGACGTCACGGGGCTGTAATGGTGGTGTGCCTCGAGATTTTTTTCATCAAACAAGTGTGCCTTTGCCCAAAAAAGGTTGGGAAACACTGCTCTAGGTTTCCATTGCACCATTGTAGGCAGCTGTTGGAGCTTCCTAAAATAAGAGCAAGATCTATTGATCTGAAAAGCTAGTAAACACGCAGAACTTCCCCATCTTTATGATGATCTATATCCACAGCTAGATATATGTTACTGTGGTTAACAAAACAGTTTTACTTATGTGGCAAAATGCTTCAGTTTCCGCCTTTGTCAACTGCTAAGGTGGAAGCCAAAATATTTTGCCACATAAATCTCTTTCATTAATCACAGCAGCATACCTATTGTTTTAGTGATTAACTGTACCGCTCTGGCGGGAAGGTACGGTAAATGGCATTTCTGTGTGCTGATCTGGTTCGCCAGAAGCGGCTTAGTCATGCTGGCCACATGACCCAGAAGCTGTACGCCGGCTCCCTCAGCCAATAAAGCAAGATGAGCGCCGCAACCTGAGAGTCATCCACAACTGTGAGAGCACAGCCCCCCCCAACCTGAGAGTCATCCTGCGCTGCAACCTGAGAGTCATCCACAACTGTGAGAGCACAGCCCCCCCCCCAAATGCATTTTGGGACACCACACAAGATCACAGCCCCACAAAATGCTTATTTGGTGCAAGATCTCAGCGTGAAATGGCGCGAGATCATGCCCAAAATGGCCACTGTGCTCTTGCAGGGAAAAACAAGATGTCTCTTTTCCCCCGTACATTGGTAGGTTTTGTGGTTATTCTTTTCCCTTATATAAAAGGAATTATTTACCTCAGGGTCTTGCCATACACTTGGGTTTTTATGAACACAATGGATGGCAACTGAAACTCTAAATCCTGTAAAAGACAGAACAGGAGAATACAGTGATTACATCATTTTAGAATTGTGAGTGAACTGGAACTCACCAAAAGATCACAGACCAACAACTAATGCAATGCACCCAAGGAGTTTTGGACCTTATATCATCGAGGGGCTTGATTAAAATAGCTCTTCAGATTCTTGCCTATGTTTCTGTTGTTGATGATTATATGTGCATACAGTGGTTTCAGCAATGGATTTCCCATGCAAACTGCACAGATCAGCAGTAAATTAGCAAATCTGCAATCAAAGTGCAAACTAATAAATATGGGTAAACCTCATTTTATTGTGCTTCACATATATGGTTCCTCACAAGGAGGATGCTGGTGTAGCTGAAGGCACCCCTGCCCCTTTCCAGGGAAAGGAAGCCACCCGCCTCTGCCGCCTTTCTTCTGCCCTTGTATTGGTATGTGCACATATCCCCCTGCAAGGGACTGTCAGGATGCTGTCAGTGGCTCCCAGCTGGTTGCCCAGGAAAGTATAAAGACAAGAGGAAGTTTCTTACGGATCCTTTTTATTTCAATCTTTACAGAGGCTATAGAACCCAGCCTCTTGGATAATGGTGGTGTCCGAGTGACTCTTCACCCACCCACCCCCAGTCTCTCCCACTTCCTCATTTGTCATTCTCATCATCTCCTCTATGAGCTCTTTGCTCTCCTACTTTTAAGGCTCTCTGGGTTCTGGAAGATGGTGGGTCTGGAATGCTTTCTAATTACAATGTGTCAGCCAGGTGTTGCTCTGGCTCTTCCCATGATTTCCCAACTTTTACCCTCATCTGCCTCTTAGTTGCGACCTCCCTCAAACCCTTGTTGTAAATCTAGACTGTCGTCCTCTTCCTCCTCCCTGGAAGGTTCAGGATGGGGAAGTGGTCTCCACCATTCCTCCTCTGCCCAGTCCATGACAGGGCCTTAGTTGTCCATTGCTATGTTCCCAACCAAGTGGTGATTGAAGAAATGATCTATATTTATTTGCACTTCCTCTTTTGGTGCTTCTTGGGGATATCTGAAATCAGCTGGAATTGCTGAAGTTCAGTCAGTATTACTATGATAGTAGTAGCTAATCTGTGATCCTCCAGTTCTGGTTGGTTTGCAACCCCTATCATGGCTGGCCATAATGGATGCAGCTTATGGAAGTTGGCAGTCTAGCAACATCTGAAGGTTCACAGTCTAGTCACCCTGGATTTATACTGAAGTTCTGAGCTGCAATCTAATTTCAGGGTTAGAGGTTCTACAATGAGTAAAAGGGAATGAAAAACAGAACTTCGCTCTTAAAGAAAATATGCAAACCTTCAGGTAAAGTGCGTCCATCGAAAAAAGTAATGGGTTTACTCAGTTGTCGGGACACTACCGGAACTGGAGAATTTAGTCGGAGACTCTCCTTTATGCACATTGTGGTATAGGTCATCTTACCAAGATCATCCCTGAAAGTTGCAAATAAAGACATTCATCTTTCTGCTGGCAAAACACTGGGTGTCGATAGCAGTGCAATATCTGGAAAGCATTCTGTTAACCTTATCAAATGTCCAGGCTTGGGTTTTCTTTTCCCTTCTACCACCAGGAGTGGCAGCTTGGCCCCGTGACCATGCAGCATGCATGGCCCTAGCACCGAAATTTGTGGGTGCCTGGCACCTTCATGGGGAATATTATGGTTGATCAGGCACCCAGGGCCCCAAGGAGTTGGCAGCTATGTCTGCCACCTTGTATAATAGGAATAAAAACCACTAACTCAAGTGGTCACTGGAGAGAGTTCATATCACATATCTTAGTTGGGTTCTTGGGGATTTGGGGGATGATGTCAGGTGAGTAACAGGTTGATCTGGCCTAGGCAGAATGGCTTCAAAAGCCAAATTGGAAAGCCCATAGGTGGGAAATTCCCCACCCATGGATTAAGAAGTGCCTCCCACCCAACTTTCCTTCTCTGAAACTGGCAGCCTCCCCCAGCTGCTTTTCAGTTGTTGTTGTTGCTGCTGCTGTTGTTTTTAAAAAGAGTAGGAAGACTTTCCATAACATTCTTCTCAAGGTTTTCAAGTTTGGCCCTCAGTTTAAGTCACTCGGGGGTGGGGGATCAAAGGCAAACAATATTGATCTCACCAATGGATGTCCTCTCGATCCCCAAGAATGTCTTTGATTTCTTCTCTGCATTTCTGCTGGTGCTCTGGGTGCTGAGCCATAGAATGCAGGATCCAGGAGATTCCACTGGCCGTAGTATCATGGCCTGCAAACATGAAAGTGTCCACTTCAGCGCGCAGGTCTTCATCAGACAACCCAACTCCGTTTTCATCCTGACAAAGTAGGGGATAGGTAATCAGCAGCTAACTCGAGAATTCAAAGAAAAATATTGTGATTGTGTTTTATATCAATAGACATGAAGAGGAAATGTAAATGAAAACACCAGCCCAAAAAGTGTCACAGTAATGGGATTCTTAGATTTGTTCTACAGATTGGCTTCTGCTTCAGTGGCCCACATAGTGGATTATTCCTCTGTGTCTTGAGCAGGAAGTGACCACAGCCATCTGGTTTTGCCATGATTAACAATTTTGCAGTTCAACCTCACTGTCCATTCCCCCCCTAATCTGTAACTCTTGTAGACTCAAAAGGCCCATAAAATGATACAAAAGGATGACAAAGGGGAAGCTGACACTTCTGTAGTCCCCTAAAAAGTAGGGGCAGAGTTGTCACCTTTTCTCATCATTAGTACTACAGTAATGGACCTGGTGTAGGGACGCGGGTGGCGCTGTGGGTTAAAGCCTCAGCGCCTAGGACTTGCCGATTGAAAGGTCGGCAGTTTGAATCCCCGTGGCGGGGTGCACTCCTGTCGCTTGGTCCCAGCGCCTGCCAACCTAGCAGTTCGAAAGCACCTCCGGGTGCAAGTAGATAAATAGGGACCGCTTACCAGCGGGAAGGTAAACGGTGTTCCGTGTGCTACGCTGGCCACGTGACCCGGAAGTGTCTGCGGACAGCGCTGGCTCCGGCCTCTAGAGTGAGATGAGCGCACAACCCTAGAGTCTGTCAAGACTGGCCCGTATGGGCAGGGGTACCTTTACCTTTACAGTGGTACCTCGCAAGACGAATGCCTCGCAAGACAAAAAACTCGCTAGACGAAAGGTTTTTCCGTTTGCGATTTGCCCCGCAAGACGAATTTCCTTATGGGCTTGCTTCGCAAGACGAAAACGTCTTGCAAGTTTGTTTCCCTTTTCTTAACACCATTAATACAGTTGCGACTTGACTTCGAGGAGCAACTCATAGAACGCAGTGTACATAGTAGCCTTTTTTGAGGTTTTTAAAGACTTTGGTGATTTTTGAAGCTTTTCCAAAACTTCTTTTGCAGCCATTTGGTAAGTTAAGCTTTTAAAACTTTTTTTGGGGGGGTTGGATTTTGGGTTGGGGTGTTTGGAATTCAAGGACTTGGTGTTGGGGAGGGGTTTGCAAGAATCTGGAAGCTTGTGTGTTTTTTTCTGCATTTTTATGATTTTCTGTGACCATTGGGCCACTCTGCTGTTTTTTAAAAAAAAATTCTGGATTTGAATTTCTGTGGGCTGGGTGGCTGGGGGAACAGTTGAGGAGGGGTTTGCAAGAATCTGGAAGCTTGTGTGTTTTTTTCTGCATTTTTATGATTTTCTGTGACCATTGGGCCACTCTGCTGTTTTTTTAAAAAAATTCTGGATTTGAATTTCTGTGGGCTGGGTGGCTGGGGGAACAGTTGAGGAGGGGTTTGCAAGAATCTGGAAGCTTGTGTGTTTTTTTCTGCATTTTTATGATTTTCTGTGACCATTGGGCCACTCTGCTGTTTTTTAAAAAAAATTCTGGATTTGAATTTCTGTGGGCTGGGTGGCTGGGGGAACAGTTGGAGAGGTTTCTGTAGGAATCTGGGAGCTTGTGGGGTTTTTTGGGGAATTTTTGTGATTTTCTGTGATCATTGGGCAAGGTTGTTGTTTTTTTGAAAATTTTTCTGAGTTTGAATTTCTGAGTGCTGGCTGGCTGGGGGAACAGTTGGAGAGGTTTCTGCAGGAATCTGGGAGCTTGTGGGGTTTTTTGGGGAATTTTTGTGATTTTCTGTGACCATTGGGCAAGGTTGTTGTTTTTTTGAAAATTTTTCTGAGTTTGAATTTCTGAGTGCTGGCTGGCTGGGGGAACAGTTGGAGAGGTTTCTGCAGGAATCTGGGAGCTTGTGGGGTTTTTTTTGGGAATTTTTGTGATTTTCTGTGACCATTGGGCAAGGTTGTGCACTTTGTTGATTTTTAAATGTTTTTCTGTCATGTTTATAAAGTTAATTTATTTTCCCTTCAATTTTTGAACTGCTCTTTACAATATGTGTGACTTTAAAGAGCAGTTAATAAACTGTTGTTGTACCAAATTTGGCTTTGTTTGGACTTTTTTTGACCATAGGAACGCATTAATTGATTTTCAATGCATTCCTATGGGATTTCGTGATTCGCAAGACGAAAAATTCGCTAGACGACAAAACTTGCGGAACGAATTAATTTCGTCTTGCGGGGCACCACTGTACCTTAATGGACCTGGTAAAGATGTCCTTTCTGTGCAATTCGTAAAGAGAAGATCAAGGTGAACTATATTTAATCAAATATCTGGCCAGCTGTTTGCTTTGTGAGCCAGTTGTAAAAGATGTGTAAGGTAGAGGATGCTAAAGTGCTTCATATAAATTCTTACCTTGGCACAAAGAAGAATGTCCAAAAAATCCAAGCGTCGCTTTTTCTGGATCTTTTCAAGTTCCCTTTCATTCTTAAGTGATTCCTTCCTCTCTGCAATTACTTTTTCTACATTACAAAATAAAATTACATCAGCAAGAACATATCACATTTCTTTCTCATTATTTATTTAACCCCATATTACCCCTTGAGTTCAGGTCAGGTGGCAAATATTTTAAAATATCCAAAATGAAGGTTACTTTAAAATGCAGCTAATATACAACTGGCAGTGCAATCAGGCAATGGAGGGGCATGAGAGAGTCATGTAGCCACCATGGTATCCACAGCCGTCCTTCAAGCACAAGGCAGAAGCCTGATTTGGGTTACACCTGACTGCAGTTGACCTAGTGACTGGGCCTGAGGCTATCAAGTGGGACTGGCATGGGATCCTGTGGATTCTTTGCCAGATCAACCCCTCCACAGGTTACCACTAGCAGAAGGACCTTCAGTGGACAGAACAGGGAGCCTCATACCAGTGGGGTGATGCTTACACCCCTCCAAGAGTGGAGGGAGACCTCTGTCCCATCCAGCTCTCCCAGTATGAGGGTATGGATTGCACCCTAAAATGTTGCATTAGGTCCAACTGTAATTTAGCAGGTGCCATCTGATTGCAGATAATCTCCCTGGACACTGAAGCCTTATTAGGGCTGGACAGAGGATGCTAGATGCTCGAGGAGTAGCAAGGCTTGTTCCCATGAGTACCAGAAGGAAAATAAGACTGCAGTCTTATATTCATTTACCTGATAGCATCCCATTGAATGCCATGGGTTTTATTTCTGAGCAGACATGTACTGGATTGCAGTGTAAATTATGCAATGTCCTTAAATTGCATAATTTATACTGGTTACAAAGGTTGAGTTGTCTTTCTGCATAATTTTGGAGAACTTATAAAGCAACAATGAAGAGGTGCTCTTGAACACCAGCAGAGACCCTTTTCCTGCACTTAGTGACCCCGTACGAAAGAGTATTTGAGAAAGAGATTCCAGAACTTTCAGCTTAGATGCTCTCAGGCAGGTTTGCTTGAATCCCAACACTACCGATTTTCAACATCAAGCAATGGATAAAGGAGCTCTTGCACAGTTGGGACCACCCTCGGCACCACTCACGACGGGCGCCAACAGGTAAGCCCCGCTGCACATAATCAGTCACATGATGTGGCTCACGCACACCACTTGAATGGCGATGCCTATGTATTTGGTGGGGGAGCCCCCTCAGAGATTTCATTGGAAGCTCCTAGGAGTTGGCTCCTATGCCACTCATTATCAGTTAGATATCCTGTTGAACCAAAGGACTTGCTTATAGTAGTCCATTTCGGTAAAGCTCGCATAGGAAGAAGAGAAGAATCTGCCAATGTCTGTAAGATACCTGTATGATGATGTGCCAAGCTGCAGGCTTCCTTAAAGCGCCGTCCTGACAGGGTGCATGAATAGATGAGCTGATTCCGCAGAAATGCTGAGGTGACTCTCTGAAACACTAGGAGAGTCATATCTTGCACAGCATTGACATAATAATCCTGCTCTCTGGAGGAAAAGAAAAATGGAATATTTCAGATAAACAGATATGGGCCATGCCACCAAGAACCTTCAATAGTATTAATTTGACAGTACTAACTTGTCCGTCTGACAGCTACTCTTGTAACTGAATGCACATTTCATGATGCTGTCAAGAGTCATTAAACTGACATGGTCAAACATCTCCAAAGACTTTGTGGGGTCCTCTGCAATCAGCTTCTCCCATTTATCCTGATGTGAGAAACAGGTGAGGAAGCTTAAGTTGCTTGCTTTGGGCAGTATCCAAGTAAATAATCATGCTAGAACAACGATTACTCTCTGTACATTCCCTGAATCATCCCCAAGTCTGCTACAAATGGTTGGGGGGATTTAAGGCAGGGGTGGAGAGGATGAGAATGTTCCATTGCCCTAGGAGAAATCCTTGTGTAGGCAGAATATTTGCTTTTGCACTCCATTGAGTACCACCCACCGCCTGAAAGCTCTGTATCTTTTCCTTAAAGGTGGAAGTGCTTTGAAAGCATCATATCTGATATTTCCCAAATCCCTTCTTCAGTTTCATTGCGCCTGTGTAGCAATGTGAAGTGCCCTTGTGCAACATGCACCAAGCCATGCGCCTGTGCGCTAGTGTACAGCAATGCCACTGGATTTGTGCCACAGATGAGTGTGACTGGTGGTTGCTATGATAATATATATCATGTCAGGAGCACTGTAAGGTAATCTCATGGGATACAACTCCTAATGCTTTAAAAATGCAATATGCGGAGTTCTCATTATATATGTGTGCAACAGATTTCTAGGTTCTTTTGTGCAACTATGTTTCAGGATGACCATGGGGCTACTTGTGCACAAATTGCTACTGCACTGTATATGAAATGTATGGGGGGTCATGCAATACACATGGTACAGATGAGTCTTTGGAAATTCAAAGCAAAGACAGACTTCTCTGCTGGCAACCATGTGGAGGAATGCGGGTCATGTCTAAGGTGCCTGGGCACAGAACTGATGGAAGTGATAAGGCATACGTCTCCATTATTTCATTGACAGAGCTCAGTATTTTGAATAACATGCTACCATTTGGCTGAATACACACACAAACTGGACTGGGGTAATTCTTCCCAGTAATAACTGATACAGAATTGAGTATTTATAATATCATTTCTTTTGCAATGTGAGAATAGGTTAATTACCAGCATAACTTTGACTGAATCTGCAATTTGTGCCACATAGGGTTTCAAAATGTCATAGTGGAAAGCTGGTGTTAGCAATCGCCTTTGCTGGTGCCACTTGGGTCCATTTAAGACAAGCAGTCCTCTCCCTATGGGTACAAATAGCAATAGACTAGTTAGAGTGTACATAGCAAAGGATTCATGTTATTACACCCACTCTTGCCATGATTTGTCCCCTTTGATTTTTCAAATCCTCTTGCAAAGATATTTGCACAGTGCAAAGCTCAGTATGTTTGTTGTTGTTGTTGTTGTTGTTGTTGTTGTTGTTGTTGTTGTTTAGTCGTTTAGTTGTGTCCAACTCTCCGTGACCCCATGGACCAGAGCACGCCAGGCACTCCTGTCTTCCACTGCCTCCCACAGTTTGGTCAAACTCATGTCAGTAGCTTCGAGAACACTGTCCAACCATCTCATCCTCTGTCGTCCCCTTCTCCTTGTGCCCTCCATCTTTCCCAGCACCAGGGTCTTTTCCAGGGAGTCTTCTCTTCTCATGAGGTGGCCAAAGTGTTGGAGCCTCAGCTTTAGGATTTATCCTTCCAGTGAGCACTCAGAGCTGATTTCCTTAAGAATGGATAGGTTTGATCTTCTTGCAGTCCATGGGACTCTCCTCCAGCACCATAATTCAAAGTGTTCAGGGGGTCTTACTCATGGGAAATGTGCATGAGATCGCAGCCTAAGAAAGCAATTTGTAGGCTGTAGCATATTCACAGATTGATTCTAGAGAACTTCGTTAACATAAAGAAAATGTCGTTTTCCTTTGCACCTTTATGCAGTGCATAGTACTAAGTAGCAAGAACCTCCCACTGATCTGTGGAATACTGTTTAATTGCTATAGAATTCATCAGTGGGGAAAAGCCAATGACTCCAAGAACTGTGTAACAGCAATAACAAGAGATGTAGGAAATGCCAGAAGAAAGAAACTTAGGTTTGTCGTCAAAATACCAATAAGAGCTATGAAACAAAAAATTGCAGAGGGAAGAGATACCAAATATCATAAATCCATTATGTTCTATGCGAAATGCATCATGGGCTGTCCCTTGAGTCTGCTAGATGACATCGCAAGGGATCGTTGCCTTAGGAGAGTGAGAAAAATTCTCAGGGATGACTCACACCCCGGCCATCACCTCTTTAATCTTCTACCCTCTGGCAGGACATATAGAAGTATAACCAGCCGTACCAACAAGCTAAAAAATAGCTTCTATCCGTGGGCTGTTAGGCTGTTGAATGAAAAATAACATAGCGAAATTGACTTGCAAGGTGGTGTGTTGTTGAATAAGAGATTGAGTGTTTTTTTGGGGGGAGGCTCATTAAATTTCATTGTACACAGGTTGTACAATGACAATAAATGTATTATTATTATTATTATTATTATTATTATTCAGAAAAAGAGATGAATGGATTGGTATTAGCTAATGTTAGGCTGTGGTGCCATGATATAATAATAATAATAATAATAATAATAATAATAATAATAATAATAATAATAATAATAATTTTATTTATATCCCAAAGCCGGGCTCAGGGTGGCTAACAACAATAAAATAATACAACATTCTAAAATCATTTCATTATAAAATTAATTCAAATTGATGGCAACCATTGGGCTATATGGGATAATCCTTAAATTCATCCCTTAGACAAGTAGCACATTACAAACCTAGGTGCAACTGCCCATAAAATCAGTACCATATGACTAAAATCTTTGTCATGTGGGACAGTATTGGGATGGGGACAAGGCATGGGGTAGTGAAGTTCATACTGCATATCCAGACCAGCAGGAACACCCATGGAACCCAAACAATGCCATCGCCATGCCCCATACCATGATACCATACCCCTAAGTGGTGGTGACACGGCTGTCGAGAGGGGAATGCTTCACTTCCCCAGCCATTCCTCCTGAAAGGAGAATTAAAACTCTCCAAATCAAGTTAAGGCTTGGGTGGCAGTTAAGATTGCAACGCCCTTGTATTCTGTAAATGACAATGATGCGTAGACAAGTAACTCGTACACATACCAATCCAAGGAAGCAAGGGCTCATAGATATCTTTAGCTTTAGGATCTAGAAAATTAGAAAAGTCAAACATACCAATCAGTGTCACAAATTTAAATTTACAGCAAGAGTTAACATTTTCAGCACCCATGTTGGAAATCTGTTAAATTGTGTGTTTTTTTAATGAAAAGATGAGAGACACAGTAAACTTGAGCCACAAAAATTTACACGTTTCGCATGGCAATCAGTATTATTTAGGTGTATGTATGTGTTATGGCTAGGGACGCAGGTGGCGCTATGGGTTAAAGCCTCAGCACCTAGGACTTGCCGATCGAAAGGTCGGCGGTTCGAATCCCTGCGGCGGGGTGCGCTCCTGTCGTTCGGTCCCAGCGCCTGCCAACCTAGCAGTTCGAAAGCACCTTCAGGTGCAAGTAGATAAATAGGGACCGCTTACTAGCGGGAAGGTAAACGGTGTTTCCGTGTGCGGCTCTGGCTTGCCAGATGCAGCTTGTCACGCTGGCCACGTGACCTGGAAGTGTCTGCGGACAGCACTGGCTCCCGGCCTATAGAGTGAGATGAGCGCACAACCCTAGAGTCTGGCAAGACTGGCCCGTATGGGCAGGGGTACCTTTACCTTTACCTTTACCTTTACATGTGTTATGGCAGGATGCGGATGGCGCTGTGGGTTAAACCACAGAGCCTAGGGCTTGCCGATCAGAAGGTCGGCAGTTTGAATCCCCGCGACGGAGTGAGCTCCCATTGCTCGGTCCCAGCTCCTGCCAACCTAGCAGTTTGAAAGCATGTCAAAGTGCAAGTAGATAAATAGGTACCACTCCGGTGGGAAGGTTAATGGTGTTTCCGTGCGCTGCTCTGGTTCGCCAGAAGTGGCTTAGTCATGCTGGCCACATGACCAGCTATACACTGGCTCCCTTGGCCAATAAAGCGAGATGAGCACCACAACCCCAGAGTCGGTCACGACTGGACCTAATGGTCAGGGGTCCCTTTACCTTTTTATGTGCTATGGCAAGCCATGTCTAAGGCCTGTGGTATTCCTCCTCTGTGATACCACAAGAAACTATAGACCTTTCATTATTTGCCTTGTGAGACATTTCCTTATCATGGCAATTCCACATCCATTAATCTAACCACATAAAGGTTTTAGAAATCTTTTATCTGTGATTAAGATTCATATCGGTTTTTTGTTTTTATCAGTAAGTCCCCTTGAACTTACTGATCAGGGGAAAACGTGGGGTACAGGCAAAACACGCACAAGCACCCCATTTACATGGAGGTTACATTCCAAGGCATTGTGCAATTAAGTGAAATTGTGTACCTTTGAAACAGCAAACACCCTGTTCCACACCACCCCTTTTGTGACCGTTTTGTGATATTCTCAGGTTACTTCTGGGTTCGGTGCAGTGTGGATGTGCACAGTTGCACACATTAAATGAGCATAAGTGGGGTGTTTACTGTATAAATTAATTATTAGTATTATAGACACATGTTCATAAAATGAAGCAGAGTCTGGAGCATGTTCTCTAGAACATTCTGTATCTAGAGGTGCATCATCATCAACAACATCATAATTTTATTATTTCTACCCCACCCAGCTGACTGGATTGCCCCAGCCACTCTGGACAACTTCCAACAAAATACTAAAAACATAATAATAAAAAACAACCAACATTAAAACTTATTAATAAAGTGGCCATGTGGATCTTTACAGAGGATAGTCCTCTATTTGAAAGCAAGCTCTGTTTAAGCAGCTCTCTGGTCCAAATGTGGTTTAAGGACAAAGAATCTTGAGAAGGGAGAGCAGGAAGTTAGCAATTAGTTGGCACCCGGATAGCAGACTGAGCAGACACATAATTCACCTGGTCACAATTTTCCCCCACTATGGCAAAATGTATTTCTATTTAAATTATAGTAATTATTTCTAAAGTTGCACATGCAAGTTTTATGCATCTCCTCATTTTTGTTGATGCACAAATGGCCACCCTACATATAAAAAATGAATTATCCTCAATGAAACACACTTACCGTTTCTGCTGAATAAAGTTTTGGCGTAATCAGGGTGAGTGATAACTACAGCAGGAACAAAACCCCCAAACCATCTGGGGAAAGCGTAAGGGAATTTTTCAGCCCACTTCTCCATCATGTTCAGGTCCTCTGCATGACTGGTGATCTACAGTGATAGGATTTCCATTTTTAGTTGCACTCCCGTCTCTTTCAAGTGCGACACGTGACCTAAGCTGGGGAAATGATTTGAGACCTTTCATCTACCCAATTCTCTTCAGTAGGAAATTAATGGGGTACCAAGCACATCTCAAAGAGGTCTGCCAGTTTCCATGCACAGTCTCTCCGTATACAGGTGTTGTTTTTCATAAATGCTTGCTAGTCTTTGAAGAAGCCTGTCTGTTTGATAGATTCAGGGAAGCCACAACCACTCATAAACAACAATTCCAGTAATGTAAGGGACCAATTTAAAATAGAAACATCACCACCTGGCCCCACCCCCACCCACCATGGCCCCCTCCACCTCCCCCCCCCTTTTTCTTCCTAATGTAACACTAATGTCTCAACAAATGAAACTGACCTGCGGAAAATGTAACTTGAAAAAAGAGACATTGCACATACTTTGTAAACCAAGAAATCTTTAATAAAAGTACTTTAAAAAGAGACCAATTTAAAAGTCTTTAAAACACAAGGCAAACTGTGTCCCCATTATACCCAAATTTCACCCAAATCTAGCATCTTTTCCAAGCTCAATTGTCCACACACATATACTGTATCTTTTTGCTTACCTGGTGGATATTACCATAGAGCCAATGGCTGGGAGGACCTGGGAAACCCTCCAAAGTTTTGAGCAATTTTTGTCTCTTGAAATATAACTGGGTGGATTTAATCACCACATAAACCAGACAGAAGCCAGCACATAGTTGCACGATCTGGAAAGTGAGACTTGCCGTTTTCTCTGTTGTGAATACCATGATGGTAGTGTCTCTAGAGCTGTGGCTTGAGATGTCTTGTGTCACCTTCTCCTTTTATTCTTCCAAGAATAATTACTGTAGCCAATAGTCAGGGAGATGACAAGCACACACTTGCTATTGCATAAGCCTCCTGTTGCAACCTTGTTTGCTGTTTCTCCCATAATAATCACCCCATTCATAATACTTGAAGAAGCCCTGAAGGAAAATTTTCAGTTTACCATCTCATCTAGCCTTTGACCTGCTTCAATTAAGAGAGTTTATTAAATAGAGTAAGGGTGAAACTTCACTGTATGTTGGATATCAATTACAGAAAATTATGTATACATTCCATGGTTATCAATCACATTCTAGGATTCACAAGGAGGACCTTCACCCAGTTGGAATACTGAGCTTTCCTTGGCTTCTTACAGGTCACAGATTTTAATCTCAGGTGAAAGGTGAGCATATAGCTCCATTTCAATTTGGATTCAGATTTGGTTTGGGGACTAACATAAACTTTGGTCACCTTGTTGGACAATCCACACCAAGAGATCTGAACATGGAGAGTACTTCCTTCTTGGTTTGGTAGACCTTTCAGCTGTGTTTAATACTTGATAATCAAGGATATCTTTCTCATGATGGGAATGGGCAGAGGATAAACCATTTCACAGTATTTCTGGTCCTTCCTTGAGGGTTGGTGCCAGTTCAAGGATCATCCCCTACCTCCTGTTGTCTGACATCTGGATCGCTGGTGGGCAACCTCGAGCCTATTAGGTAGTTTGGATTGAAAGGGTACTAGAATAATGAGACCAACACCATACAATAAGCCAGTGACAGAGGAGGATTTTTATGTTAGGTCTCTCAATCCTTTGATGTGTTTGCTTCATTTCTATGAATGTGTTTCACTGGAAATGTAATATAAGCCCATGTCCTGACTCTTGCAAGCTACTTTTCCAACATCCAACTTCTTAAAAGTAGCCAACATGGTTTGGTTCATTCATGCCATAACTTCCAAGGCAGGTAACAACTCATCTCTGAGCTCTAGAAGATATCTTCCAAGCAAAAGATCTGCTTGCCAGTCACACCACGGGTTTCAATAAGCAAGGAGTCTGTGTGCCACAATAACTTACTATCAGAAGGCTATAAAGATAGGCCCATATATCTTGCCTTACAACCCTGAACTGTGTGCTTTCAACCTGTACGCGCAACTCATTGAAGTAATAGCACTGAGAAAGTGGTGATTCATACAAGTGTGTCCAATAGTCAAAACAGTTGTTCTTTGTTTAGACACCCATGCGATGACTTGCATGAAATAAGTAGGTGGTTATTTAACCCTAGGGAGATACTTAAAGGGTGCAATCTGCAAATCAATTGAACTGAAATATTTAAGCATCTCCATCTGTGAAGAAGAAGAAAAAGAGTTTGGATTTGATATCCCGCTTTATCACTACCCTAAGGAGTCTCAAAGCGGCTAACATACTCCTTTCCCTTCCTCCCCCACAACAAACACTCTGTGAGGTGAGGCTGAGAGACTTCAGAGAAGTGTGACTAGCCCAAGGTCACCCAGCAGCTGCATGTGGAGGAATGGAGATGCAAACCCGGTTCACCAGATTACGAGTCTACCTCTCTTAACCACTACACCACACTGGCTGTCTCACACTGTAGCTTGAGATGTCTGACTGAGTAACTTCAATGGGACTTACTTCCAGGTAATTGTACATAGGATTTCAGTCTTGCAGCATAATCCCATATCTGTTCATTTAAAGGAAGCAACTCCCTCTGTTTTCCATGAAATATATTCCTTAGTAAGGCTGAAATCCACTTATCTGGAAGTAAACCACTTTGAATTCAACAAAGCTGAATAGACATGATATGGGCTGCACTATAAGTGCATTAAGGGTGGTAGTTTTACAGTGCAGCCCCATACTAATGTCTACTCAAAAGAAAGTCCAACTGAGTTCAACTGGAATTACACACAGGTGAGAGTATATAGGACCATAGCACTGATAGACTGCAGTCCTGAACAGGTGTTAATTTCCAAGCTTTTGAAAAAAAAATTTTTAATGTCTGGAGATAGATAGGATGCACCTCTTGGCCATAGCAATATACTTTTGGATTGGGATAGTTTGAGTGGTACAGAAAGCTGATTAGCCAGAAGAAATTGTCTCAGATATCTCCAGGAGTCTCTCTAACTTCAGATGGAAGGGTGTGAGTGTTTTGAGGACAGTAAAGAGTGCTGCGTTGAGATATATTTTGATTTGGGGAAAATATTTTTTGCTTTCAATTCTGCTTGCCAGAACTCATACTCTCCAACATTTCTCTGATGAAAACAAGGGTGTCCTATTCAATAGTAATAGTAATAATAACTATTATTATTATTATTATTATTATTATTATTATTATTATTATTTTATTATTTATATCCCACCCATCTATCTGGGTTGCCTGGGTGGCTTCCAACATATCTAAAAACATAATAAAATATTGTCAGTGAAACTGACAGACATTTTCCCCAACCTTGTCAATTGCACAGGAGACCATAAAAGGGGGAAGTTGGTGGTGGTGAAGGAACCAGCCCTGGCAGCTATGCTCAGGGGAGAGAAGGAGAAATTGGGTAAAGTAGATTTGTCTGTTAGCAGTGGTAATTAAATTTATTTCTATAAAGGAAGACAATGTTAAGACATGAAAAAGCCATAGGAAAAACTGATGGCTGGAAGACTAAAAATGTGCTTCAGATAGAATGCTTTATTCATGGGTGACACAAAAGATGCAGGAGGGCTGCAGCTGGGTTATGGAGCCAACATTCTTTATGGCTATTATTCAGTTAAAAAAGAAACTGAATTAAAAAAAACTGAACAGGATCATTATGTCTTTCACACCTGCACACTAACTGAGGGGAAAGGCTCAAGAGCATTTGAAGAGGTATATATGAAATCAGTGTGTGTGCAAGTGCGTGAGAGAGAGATCAACCCAAGGATCAACCTTGGATCTTGTGTTGGCTTGAATAATAATAATATTGTGTAACTTTCATTCCATTGCATAGGATTTAAATTCTAACTGTGGGAAAGCAGCTCATAAACAACTGCAAGAAAGTATTCCAATAAGTATTCCACCTGAGTCAGGATTTTAATGGAAAATTGCAGCATTTGACCTTTGGGTTGCTTGTTTTCCTAGATCCACAAATACGGCATGTGTTGTAGTGAACGTGAATTAATCTGTTAAGCTGAGTCACCCTGAGACACATACAGAGTTTCTTTGTGAATTTGCATGCATTGCAAAGGGAAGGGAAAAGCATGGTCGTTCCTTGGAGTGCAAAACATGCTCATTCCTGGGAGTCGCTGTCCACCAGCTGACATATGGAACAGGCCTGAATCAATTTGGGAGCAAGGCTATTTGTTTAAGTTGGGTTTTTAAAAACCCTAATTAAACATGCGGTCAGGATGTAGCAGGGGAAGGAGGAGACGCTGTGTATCCTTTGCCCCCCCCCCCCGGTCTAAGAGCAGGAGAGTTTAATCCTGTAGGGTGCTGCTGCTTCACAAGCACCTTCCATGTGGAGGAGAAGCACCCTGCACGATCAAACCACTCCTACTCCTGGCTCTGTTAGGAAGACAGCAGTGACTCTGAGGTGAGAAACAACCTAAGCAAAAAGAGCTTCTGTAGTGAGGAAAGTGCTGCCATGAATCCCCCTTCGTCCTAGTGCAAAAGAGAGCTGCTACCTGGGGTGTGGATCAGAAGAAGCTTCTTCATGCCTTTCTCTCTCTTTCTCACAGAAGGAAGACTGGTGAATGGAGAAGGCCCTAGCCAAGGAGCTGCAGCCTGCAGGATCAAATCGTCCAATCGTCGGCTGGTACGAGGAGGATTTGATACTGCTCCTTCACCAGCACCTTCCCAACTTGGGTCAAGCCTGCGTCCCCCAACTGAGTTTGGATTCCAGCTTTGTCACAGTTGAGTAAAAGGTAAAGAAACTCTGGATGGTTAAGTCCATTCAAAGGTGACTATGGAGTGCAGCTCTCATCTCACTTTTCAGGCCAAGGAAGCCGGCGCTTGTTCACAGACAGCTTCCCAGGTCATGTGGCCAGCATGACTAAACCACTACTGGCACATGCAGGACCATGGAGAGTGCACAGAAATGCCATTTACCTTCCTGCCACAGTGGTACCTATTTATCTACTTGCACTGGTATGCTTTCAAACTGCTAGGTTGGCAGGAGCTGGGACAGAGCAATGGGAGCTTACCCCATCGCATGGATTCGAACTCTCGACCTTCCGATCGGCAAGCCCAAGAGGCTCAGTGGTCTTCCCTTACCCAATCTAGTACACAGTACTTTATTTGTAACTTGACAAAATGTAGCATTGCATCAGCTGTGATTCCTTCATGCTACAGAGCTGGTGGTAATATGAGGGCTTATTGTTGTAGTGAAGATCCTGAAGATCAGATGTTGTTTGAAATCAGCAGAGTCCTGCAAAAACAGAGCAGGAATTTATATACATTCCTTCCCATGCCAGTTTTCCCAGTGTCCTTCTTGACCCACAATTAGTTTGCATGTTGTTGAGGGTTTATACGAAGGGCCTTGTACAATTTTCACTTATACCAGTACCTTCTCGATTCCACAAACTCTGTTTTCTGTTTTCATAAATTAACCAACTCTTCTAGCCCTAAAATTTGGGTTGCGTGGAGTCCACATGCTCACATAATGATAATTAGCATCTTGATTAACAATCAAGAAGATTAAAATGTTTCCTCATCTTCCGAAGTGGGTGGGTTGCTGAGTCAATCTACAGTTTGATTCTGGAACTGGTGCACTTAATTAAATTTGAAACACATTTTAATCTACCAGTACAAAAACAGTCACTACGATGCGGCTGTAAGAATGAGTACATAAAAATATAAGAAAAGTGCTGTTGGATTAGACCAACGGTTCATCTCGTCTAGTATCCTATTTCTCCACAGTGGTCAGCCAGATGCCTCTGGGGAAGCCACCAGCAGGAGATGACAGCACAGGCCTACTTCTTCTGTTGCTC